GAGGAGAAGAATGGTGTGAGTTTTTTGGAGGTTTAGTGGCTAAAAATGGAGGTCATGGTGCTAGAAAATGAAGAATAAAAGAGAGAAAATGAAGAACACTATGAACAAGAGAGAGAAAATGTGGAAGATAAATGAGATGAGTGTTGGATCTCAATTAAGGCTGAATGGACGTGCTCCTAAGTGTTTCCTATCAGCTGAATACTCAATTAAAAAATGAGAAAAGAAAATAAAAAGAAAATGAGAGCCTTGTCACTCTTGCAAGATGGCACCCTCCTATTGATTTGTAGATAATTCCAATATATGCCTAATTTCTCATGTTTCATCCAAATCATTTAAGCTGATTTAATCCCTCAAAATAATCATAATTCATGTGAAAATTATCATCCATTGACCTCAAGGAGTGTTGACCTCAATTGCTTAATTGATGCATAAGTCACATGCCACCTATGTCACATAAATCATATGATTCAATTAAATAGCATGTGATATAATAAAATCTAATTAATTTCCAGAATTGAATTTATAATTAGAAAGGAGAATTAATTAAAATAACTAAGTTTTAGGCTTCACAAAATAATATTAAAAATTTTCACACAAAAGCGAACCGAAAACTAGGTCAAACTAAGACACTTAAGAAAGTATTGACTTTTTATTTAGTTACTCTCAAACTAAAATGAATTTTAAAAATGTAATTTCACCACTCATCAAATGGACATAAAATGAACTTTGTCAATTTTTCTTGTACATTTCTCAAAAGTTTATTTTTTGGACCAAAATACCCCTAATGCATTAAACCTAGAAGCTTAGGCAAAATTCCAAATCTAATGTGATATGTGCACTTGAAGGTGATAAATCATTAATAAAAGGGTCCTAATTGACAAATAAAGTGGGTAACTAATGTGTTCTATCAGTGTAGGAGGGTGATTTAGTGGCCAAACTTATGGGTATGTATGATATTGATCATGTGAATGTCCACTTAGGTGCTAAATTCCCCGTTGGATATATTCAAGGCCCTAAAAGTATTAATGACATGTGGTTTAAAGTTAGGACACTTGGATGAGTGAAAATGACTTAAAATAATCATTTTGTATCTGAATGTCCAATTTTCAAATAAGATATCATATTAAAATAAAACTAATGTCATTAGTTAGATTTTGAAATAAACTTCATGTGGGCGCTTGAATCACCTCAATCAAATACCATTTGTGAAAATGATGCATGTCAAAAGTTTGTATCAGATGTGCTGTTTGACAATAAAATTTGATATGTGCGCCATGGCACATGTGTCACATACTACAGCATATGATCTAGTCTAGCCAAAAATCAATATTTCACTCTTGTTTTCTCTTACATGTTGTAGTTACAATCAATATGCTTCTGCTAAGCATTATTAATGCATACATTTAAATGATTTTAAATAATTTTTAGAAATTTTTTCTTGGGATCCCAACTAATAAAATTATGATCTTTGAGTGTATATATGTATTTATTTGAGATGAGTGTATAGTACTGTAATGTCGGGAGGGGCATTATAGGATGAGTGCTTGGTCGCAATGAAATTGCCCAGGAATGTTGAATGACTCTGTTACCCCTATTTAATCTATTTGAATGCTCAACTATTTTTCTAAGCTACTCAAACCTTAAACACCCTAACTTTTGATGTTTTTAATAGGCCTTAACTTATGGCTTTCAAACTTGATTTATCTTGGGATCCCACTTTCTTAAATAGTATTTATAAATGAACTCCAAAATTTCAAATGGCTAAGGTTGATCCTAACTTCCTTTGGTTTCTTCTTTAATTTGATTAATTGGTTTAGGTGTTATGGTTAAGTGTGGTAAATGATGGATGTCATTGAAGGGAGCAAGAAAGAGAGGTAAAAATGGTCAAAGGAAAAAGGGAAAACGTCTTGTGTATATCATGGTTGATGCAGTCAATCATATGGCTACTATACAAGAGCATAGCGTTACAACAATGAATTCAATTTTTGATTCATTTGAACAGGATAGCCCAACAAGACCACTTGGTCCCACTACTATAGATATTGCAATGGAACTTTACCAAATTAAGGAGATTGTAAGTGATAAGGTGCTTCTTGAAAAATGTGTTGTGGCCTTACTAAATAGGATTGCAAGGGAGATGTATATTGGGCTTAAAGGAAATAGAAGAGCATTAGTGGCTAATTGAAATGCTTGGCTAAAAAATCACAAAAAATTGTTTTGTGCTTATTTTGGTCTGTGTTTTAAAACTTGCTAATGTTTTTGTTGCTAACTTAACTTTGTAGGTTTGGAAATTGATTATATTTTAAATGAAAAACATAAATTTAGGTCCTTATACTTTGCTCACGCTTTGCTATTAGTTTCTATATTTTTTTTAGTGTTTTTAATCCTTGTACTTTCATTTTTCATTATCTTAGGTCCTTTTAAAGTCCCTATACTTTGTTCATAGAGAGATCTAAGACAATAAAAAATGAAAGTACAGAGACAAAAAATACATAAAAAATAAAGGGACCAATAGCAAAAACGAATAAAATACAAGGACTTAAAGCTATGTTTTTCCTATTTTAAAACTTTTGTTCTATGTTTTAAGGATAAAAATATGATTAACCCTCATGATTATAGTACTGACCATGCATCTCCATTATTAATTCAAAAAGTGGCTTTAAGTGTGGTTTCTGACAAAGAGATAAATAAAATTCATGATTCTATTATAGATTAGATTGTACATTATGAATCGAACAATTAAACATGTTAATTTTCAATATAAATGTATGTTAAATTATTTTTTATATAATTTTTCCCCAACATATCAAACTTTATATTTTTATTCTTATTATTTAAAATATCAAAGTTTATGTGATTTAAAATTTTTTATCATGTTTTTTAAACATTTCTAATATATTACATTATATAACAAAAATCACAAATTATCATGAATGAATGTTCCTTTTTTTTTTGTAATTATGTACTTAAAAATATATTTTACTATATATAATTCAAACAACTTTTAATTTTCAAACTAACTTTTAAAAATTTATATCCAAATATAAATTTTATTGTCATAACTAGTTTTTACTAAACTAATTTTTATTAAATGAATTTTTAACAAATTCACTTTTTGAAACGAAAAACCGAATACACTGTGAAAAAAAAAATACAAAAATGATGATCGCAGCAAAGAAACCCAACTATGAAAACGAACCCACAAGAGCCAACTATAATCATGAAGGCAAAGAGGGTCCGTGCAACGTTGCTGGCACTCAAACGCGAGAATCAAATGTGAATCAGTAATTTCAAAAACTTGGTGAATAATTTAAAAATAATACCCCATTAAATCTAAAAATATAAATATATTTTTCAAAATAAAGTTGCAAACTAATAAATTTCTCGTTATCATAAAAATATATATTATTTTCTATTTTTACCTTGATCCCAATTATGAATATATTTTATCGTGCGTAAAAAATAGATGTATACAAAGATCTATATTAATATTTATAATGGATAAAATGAGAAAAAAATTTACACGTAAAAATTTTTTTATATGAGTGACACATAAATTTAAAAGAAATAAAATAGAGGAAAAAATTTTACTATATTAAGTCACTTATATTTTAAATCAATATGAGCTGTGAGAAAATACTTATATTAAATCAAAGAGAATATGTTTGTTTTAATAATATCTTATTAAAATATTAATATTTTAATATTTAATATTTTAAATATTATAATTATTATTTATAAATATTTCTCAAAACTTTATAAACCATCTTTTGAAAATTAGGAGCTCAACTAGTTATCTAAAATTGATAGGTAAATGCTTTTTTAATTCAAGTATGATTATTTGTAAGATATTGCTTTTACTTTTAAATTATATATCTACTAATTATGATGTATTTTTTTGGAGAAATTTTAAACTAAAAAATTAATTTTTAAATTGTGTGTGAGTATTTATATAAATAATAATAATAATAATAATAATAATAATAATAATAATACTTGAATTATCATATCAGATTATTTGTATTTTAATATGATATTAATAAAAAAATATAATATTTTTGTTAAAATAGTAGCCGGTTTAAAATGGTATGTTATTCTTTTATATGAGAAAGAAATAATATTTATTTTTATTTTTATTTTTATTTTAAAAACTTAAAACAGCATTAATTTTTATAGAGTATTTATTTGTAAAATTTTATAATTTTTGATATCATTTTTTATAATTTTATAATCAAATAACAGTTAAAATTAATATTTATTAATAATAAGGGTAGCATTATATTGTTTTTAAAAGTTGAAGTAGAATGTTATATAAAAATAAATTTAATATCTCAGACAACTCCAAATATATAGTTTAATGTTGAAATTAGCCTTCATCCCATATTTTTGAGGCATAAATATATTTTTATTGAAGATAATTTCATTCATTAAGGTACGATTTGACACTAAACATGAGCATATTTTGAGCCAAAACTTAAATATTAGTTCATCTTGAGATTCTAGTCATTTCTCCCATTAGCTTTAACCTGTTAGTCAAATCCATATTTTTTTATGATAAATCCATATATTATATTAGTGAACTAAATTAGTACCCCTTCATTAAAAAATATAAAATATTTTTAACTAAATCTTATCACCTAATAAAATAGTTACTAGTTACTTGTTTTCAATCTAACACCATTTTTTATATTTATCTATATTTAATAAAATATTTCACACTAAAATAAATATAAAATAATTTATTTATTAGGGCACTTTAAAAAATTAATAATTATATTTTAAAATATTAAAAATTTATATTTTTGAACATCAAATTTCTTAAAAAAATTTGCATTTTTTAACTCAGGAAATATGTTACTGATAACTAATTAAATAAATAGCTAGCAATCAGTTGGCGCGTTACACTAGAACAAATCTAAGTCATAATTAAGATCGTAATTAATATCGTATTATTAATGGATCAATTAAAGTAAGAAAGCAGATCTGCAAGCACGTGAAGATGGTACACCAGGATAATAATATTCTTTATTACTAGAAAAGTACTGATGACGACAAGGAAACCCAAAGATGAAGATGAACCACAAGAGACAAATATCATCACGAAAGCAAAACTGGACAGTGCTATTACGTAGCGCACATACAGCAACATAGGAGAGAATCAAATATAGCAATAATTTCAAATGGGATTGAAAGTCATTTTTCTTTCTAAACTTTTTCTTAAGAACGCCGAGCATCATGTATTAAAAGTAGTGTAATATTCTCTAAACAATTTTTCAGAACCAAAATTACTTTTTTTATTAGAAAGCCAGCATCTCCTTTATTATTTATTAACATGGAATAGCTGTGGGATTCACGTACAATAACAACAAGATATTTTAATTCATGTTAACCATCTAATATGGTTTAAAGGGGATAGAAATCACAATGAGAATGGCAGCAACTAAGCCTGATTTCAGCGGTGAATAATGACAAAATTAGTCAAAATGTCTTATTATTATTGTGTGGGTATCCCACAACTATTATAGGCCAACATATAACAAGATGGTGGATCTCTAGAGGAAAAGAAATTTTGGTCATGAAAAAATTATTTAAGGAGATATGTACTCCTCTCTTTTAATTTAGTGCACCCAACGATTCCTTAACAAAAAAAAGTTAATAGAAAAAAAAAGGTCTTTTAACCCATTAATTAATTAGGCTGGTCGTCATCATCAGGTACTAGTTGCTCAGTTTTCCTGAACAGCTTGTGTTGAATATGCTGAGAGAAAGTGCGAGGAGGGAAACGAGCAGGTTGTGAATCAATGACAAGCTCAGGAAGTGGCTTCAGAATAATTGTCTCTTTGGGTGGTTCACAGAACACAGCCCAAGAGATCCTTACCTTCTCCTTGTTCACGAGGCCTCTGTGAAGAATGCTCTTGTAGTTGCCATTGCTCAGAATCTCAATGGTGTCTCCGACGTGCATGAGGATGGAATCCGGCACGCATTTCGCCGTCACCCATTTTCCGGCGTAGAAAAGTTGCAGCCCCGGCACCATGTTGTGAAGAAGGAAAGTGAGTGAACTTACATCAGTGTGAGCTTCAACTCCAAGAGCCTTGTCAGGCTGAGGGCAAATTGGGTAATAGTTGATCTTCATCTGGAGTAAAAGCTCGTCCATTCCTCCAACTTCTTCCTCTAGCCTTCCTTCTTCTAGTCCGAGTCCAAGTGACAGCATTCCCAGAATCTTGCTCGCAAGCTTCCTCAGATGCCTTGCATACTCGCTTGTAACCTCACTGTACGCATACATTCATCTATGTATGATCATCGCAGTCTCACAAAGATTTGAAATATTACCATATTCGTATGGAGCAGGGACCATATGCATGCTAAATTAGTAGAAAATTGTTAGGAATGAGGAGTCCTCACTTAGGAATGAAAGGAGATGATAGATTGACATTAGTAGTAGCAGAATAACAAACACCATATCTTAATTTAAAATTTTAAGGTATAAGTTTATGGTCTTTTCACTTTATATATATTAGTTATTAAGTTGTAAGAGCCCTTTAAAGAAAGGAAAAGAATATTTTATTTTTTATAAAAAAAATAATAAAATGATAAAAAAAAACTTTACAGAAATTCACAAATCTCAATTTTAATAAATTTAAATTCAAGCTATCACCAATGGCAAGCGCACATAGGGTTGAAGGCGTGCAGTGCCCCCTTAACTTGGGGAAAATTTACAAGTGAACTTTTGTGAATCTTCCTTCATTGTCCCAATAATTTTAAACCATCAAAGCCAAATTAAATTATATTTGAGTTCAAAAAAAAATTATATATATTAAATTAATTTTCATTTTTTACATTTATTACATTTATATAATTCATGTCCTCATTGGCCCACACAATTGCGATTGCTTGAAAACAAGAAAGAAAACAAATGGGTAAGAGCAAAGAGACAACACCACATCCTATCAAAGCCATTGTTTAAGTTTATGTGTGTTTCTACTTTATTATACATCAATCTTATTAAATCAAATTTTATCAATACTTGTCCATCCACTTAGGACACTAATACCTCTCGTACATAACACATAGATAGAGAAATATATGAAAGAGAGATCTTACGTGTAGTCAGAGGGTGTTTTAGGCCAGATGGACAAGTCACGCTTGTGTTCGGGGAAAATAAGGTGGAAGAAGTAATCTTCCCACTCAAGCTGTCCACTGACATTGTTGGCAAGCTTGCTTCCATAGCCTTGAACATTCCCAGAGCTCTGATCATTGGCATACTTCTCCTTTTCCTCTATGGGCAAAGCGAAGAAAGTCTCGCCAGCTTTCTTGAGCCGATTCATGAGCTCCATTGGGATTCCATGATTCACCAGCTGCATCACTCCCCATTCCTCTGCTGCTTTCTTCAACCTCTCTCTGCAACTCCTTCGCACCTTATTAAAAATAAAGAAATCAAAGAAGTCCCGCATTTAGAAATTAGCTAGAAGATAGATTAAAAATATACAAAAACAATAAAAAAATGAGAAATAAAAAAATAAAGAATGAAAGATAAAAACAAATAAAAGAGAAAAAGAAAAATTGAATAGACACATGAAGTGTCTGAGATTAAAAATAGTAAGAACTCAAACAAAGAAAAAAAGAATAAAATAAAAAAACCAAGAAAAAAAGAGAAAAGTAGTGAAGGAAATATTAAAAATGAAAAGTGGAAGAAATCTTACATCTAAAAGTTAAAAAATAAATTAATAATAATATACAAAATTGGGGAAATGTCACACCTCCTCATTCTGTGAGTCCATCTCTCTCAAGTCCACTGTTGGAACCTCAGGCCCTTCCTGCTTCTTCTCTTCTTCAAACACGTCGACACTCATGTTTATCAGTTCTTCTTCTGGCCTCACGTACTCCTTTGGGATTGTTTGGATACCACTCTTGGCTAAGCTTTCCACTCTCGAGCCCACTGTACTCACCATCTTCACTGATAGTATTTAATAATGCTTCAAATTGATAGCTATAGAAATATCTATGACGTTTTCTCTCTCTTTTGTCTATGTTACTGACACTCAGCTGTATATGAGATCCTAAAGTTCTAAAGGTTTATATAGAAAAACATATCACACCCTGGCAGGCGAGGTCAAGGAGTTGACTGGTCGATGGAAGCTTGGAAGAACCTTTGTAATTAACCTACCCAACTAACGGTCTCTAGTCTCTACACAAATTTTTATTCCTAGTTAACTTAAACAACAAAAAAATGCAAGCAATGAAGGGGAAAGTAATCCTGGGGGAAAAAAACGTGTAGAGGGCATGTTTGATTGTGTTCGTGTTTTTTGTTTTTAAATGCTAATTTGTAATATAATTTTTAAAATTGTTTTCCAGAACAAAAAAAAAACTATTTGATTTTGAAAATAGTTTTAGGGTTAAAAATCAACTGACAATGGTAGTTGCTAGTGGTTAATGGTGATGATTTATAACAACAATTGGTTATAAATGATAGTAGTTTTCAATAATCAAACACTTTTATGGTCTTATTTATAAGGTAAAGAGAATATTTATTCTGGTCATATTTATATGACGCCTCAATAATTATTTTATTCATTTTTACCATTATGCCTCTATTAAATGTTAAGAAATTTATTAAGTATTAAAGTATTTTATTTTTAAACAGAATTAATGAAATTTAATATTTTATTTAGTTTTATTAAAAATATTGAACATGACTTATAAATAAAACTCAGGGAAGTATAGTGTGTTTTTAAAAAAAAATTAAAACCAAAACAATTCTAAGATATGTTTTCATTTAAAAAAAAGAACATTTTTGAAAGCATTTAAATTTGAACTACTTACTCGAGACAAATGTTTATTTTTATTTAAAAAAAGTTTTATAAAAGGACCAAAATTTTGTTTGGCCATTTTTTATAATTTTTGACATCTTTTCTATATTGTTTGGATCCTTTTATTGTAATTTTTGACTCTTTTCCTATAATTAACGCAATCCTTAATTAATTATTAATTTGGGTTTGGGCTTCTCATTTCATTAATGTTTGATCATTTCACACATTAATAAGAGTTAAATATATATGATAAGAGGTAGAAAGTAAAGTTATGCAGTTTAACCCCTACGATCAAAAGAAAATTTTCAAAGACACTTTTATGCATACCAAATGTGGTGAGGATTATAAATTAAAATAAGACCATACAAATAGAAAATGACAAAGAGGACTCAAGGGATAATCGATATATAAATTGAAGAAAAAGAATAAGTAAAAGGTATGACAAAGAGTTGTTGAAAATCAATAGAATGATTTTCAACATATACACGTCAGTTAGTAAAAGACTTACATAATTGATCAAGAAATTAAATCTATAGGCATCAAGGCCTCTTTCTACCATTAGAGGCACTTCTTCCTACAATATATAGATATGAAAGCAAATAAATTTTCAATACTCTTTATCAATGCAATGAAAAAGAAGAGATCTACAAGTAAAACAAATAATATAAAAATTTTAAAATAACATTATATGATAGAAAAAGGCTAGAGGAGATCATTGCACATATGCACGATTTCATCAAGAAATTTTAATATATGTCCTTCATAAGTTGATAGTGTATAGATTATATATCTAAAAATTCACTCACAATAAGATAAATTCCATATATTAGTTTACCTTCTAGTGGAGTTGTCAGAGGTTGTATTGTGAAGGACCAAAGGGTTGGTGTATAATCCCCTCATGTTCATACAATTGCCTTCATAAGGGGACACACCTTACAAATTGAGAGATCATGGTTTAGAGAATTTAAAATAATGTATGGAGGTTAACATGGAATGCAAGTGCAAAAACATCCACCTAAAAATTAGGGGGAAGTTAAATTAAGGGGTAGTTATTAGAATAAAAATAAATTATACTAACTAGTTAATTTAATTTAAACATAAATAATTGTAAAATATGATATACATCACAAATTTTGAAATCTAGAAATAAAGAAAATATGATATTAAATAATAGAGATCATGGTATATGGAAGTTATTCCTGATTCAAAAATTTTGCATTTAAATTTAAATTTTATAAATTTAAAATTTAAAATATTTAAATTAATAAGAATTAAGGGTAGTTGTTAGAATGAGAAAATCTATTATAATAATTAAATAAATTTATTTAAATGTAAATAATTTTAAAATATGATACATCACAAATTTTCAAATTCAAAAATAAAGGGGCTATGATATTAGGGAAAAGAGATCATGGGTTATGAAAGTTATTCATGATTCAAAAAGTTCACATTCAAATCTAAATTCTACAAATTTAAAATTTAAAATATTTAAACTAATAGGAATTAAAAGGTAGTTATTAGAATCATAAAATCCATCACACTAATTAGATAAATTGAGGAAGTTATGATACTTAAAGTTTTTTTAACATTTTTAAAATTAAAATTTATAAATTTTGAATTAATTGAGAAGTTATGGTTGAGATTATGGGAGAGAATATTCCAAAATAAGAGAAAGTAATTTTTGTCAATTTTAGAATTAATGTTGATATTATTTTTTTAAAAAAATATTTTTGACATTAATAGTGATGTAGATAGCATAGAATAGCAATATTTTAAAAAATTTATACATATCAAGTTTGGAAAAGTGTTTGATATTCTTTTGTTATATATATATATATATATATATTCTCAATAAATTCTACGTGAAATATAGAGTTAAGGAGTTATTAGAATAATAAAATAATTTAAATAACTGTCCGTATTAATTCAATTTTAAATCTAAACTTAATGAAAGAAAGCGTCACTCAGTGCCAATTACCAAACGGTACGACGGTAAGAGAAATACTTTTTCAGGTTCTATTTGTTGGATATTTTTTAAAAATAATTTTTTAAAAAAACTAAAAAGTGCAATCACAAAGTCAGAGTTTACAAAATAACGTAATCCATAAAAGAATCTCTCTCATCAACTATTGCCTCCTATATTAGAAGTGAGGGTTGAATAAAAATACAAAAGCTGTCATTCAAATTATGAGACATTTTAGCTAAATTAAAGAGTTTAAAAATATTTTTTAATTCAAAATATAAGACATCTTGTATATTTTCTTTTTTTTATTTGTGTGAAGGTATTTAATATAATTATATTATTATTTAAAAATAAAAATAAACATATATTTTATTTTTTATGATATAAAAATAACTTTTTTTAATATTTATACAAAAACTGAAAGTATATTACAATAAAATTTGGAGGGAGTACATGTTTGTGTTTGTGACTGACAAAGTTTGCATGAGGAATTGGGGAAAATAAATGAAGTCATGAAGAGTCCCAGCCCCCAAAAAAGTTGAAAAAAAATAAAAAAAGAAACACCAACGGCTTGGATAGTGATCTTATTCTAGGCACGCACATTTCAACTAACCCCCATTGTGCCACTGGTTTTGGGCGAAGACAGCACGCAGATTTCTCACTTGTCACTTCATGTCTGGTTCATTTTAGAATTTAGGTCGACCCTTTTAAAGATTTGAGTGTTTATTTTCGTACTTTCAAAAATAGGAAAAATAAATATGCATATATTTATAATTTCCCTTAATTTTGAATTACGTTTTGTAGTTTAATTTTTTTTAATCAAGTCCTTAAAATTTGATCTGTTAAATATGTTAATTTCTAAAGATTAAAATCCTTGAAATTTTTTTTAAAAAATTGAAATTAAGAAATTATATATTTTTTATTAAGAGATAATTATTTAAATTTTAGAATTAAGGGTTAAATGGTAATTTTGCATTTATACTATAGGTCTAAAAGTATTTAAGATTCTAAATTCATATTGGTACGATGTTCTCTTTCAATATTTAAAAATGATGTAATATTACCCCTACCAATAATAAATGTTGTATTTAACCATTAATTGACAAAAAAAATTATAGAAAACAATATCAAAAGCTATACAGAAAAGACCAAAAAAATTATAAATAAGTACATTAAAAAAATTAATATTTATTATATAAGTAACCTAACTTGCAATAAATACCAAGATATAAATATTATTTTTTCCTATATAAAGAATCAAAATACTACTTTAACCAGCCACTTTGATCAACCACCTTGTGATTATTGGATCACCTATGCTGGCAACAACACCATTGAGTAACTAATAATATTATATTTATTTTAATAATATCTTATTAAAATGTCAATAATTTAATGTATAATAATTTAAATATTATTATTTATAAATCTTCATTCACGATTTATAAGTTAACTTTTATATCTACAATTTCTCTAAAAATTACAACATAACCAATGCTTTGTGAATTGTGAGTTAAAAGTGAATGCGATTTGTTACAATAATAATAATTGAGTTGTTTTATAAATCTTAAATATGCAAGTTGGGCTATTAATTTTGTAAAAGAAGAATTATAAATTTTAAAGGAATATTTATAAATAAAAATTAATATTTAATAAGATATTATTAAAATAAATATATTAATTTTTAATTACTTTTCAGTGTTGGAGACAATAATGGTGATCCTATAATCACCCAATAGCTAGTTAAAGTGTTTTGTTGAAATTGAATTTTAGTCGTTTACATGTAAGAAAAAATATATCATTTATATTGTGGTATTTATTTGTATATTAAATAACTTAATTGGTATTAATTTATATTTGATCATGTCTTGAACAAAATTACTTTCAATTAGAGAATATTTTTGCACATAAAAAAATTAATGACATAATTTTTATAACACAAAATTTATGCCTTCTAAAGAATCAAACAAGCCCTTCATTGGGATTAAACATGCACTATATTTAGGATATAAAAAAATATATAATATTTACAAAAAAAACTTATTAATAGTAGGAATTGGCTTGCTTCTCTACAGAGGAGAGTAGAGGGAAGATCATTACATCTTTGGACAGTTAAATTGAATTTGATGATTTAAAATTGATAATTTTTAAAAGTATAAATTTAATTTGGACAATTCAAATTTAAAGTGGAGAAATAATGGAGAGAGAAAATAATAGAGAGGAACCCACCCCTTCATAATATTAGGACATTTCAAATTAAAC